TGGCTGGCACTGGAGTCCTTGGAGAGACGCTGCCAAATCTGTCAACACCTCTGCTACCTGTCCATGGTGAGAGCAGAGCGTTTAAACTAAACCTTTTCACAGTAATCCAGTGAGAAAAATGATCTAAAAGTGGAGCACATTCAAAGGGGTTGCAAACATTCCTTTTGCTCTTTGATCAATGTTATTCTAAGTGATAATATTGCTCGTTTTCACGTCTTTGCAGGTGGTTCAGGAGACGGACAACGTGGTTTTCTGTCTGGAGTGTGCACTACGCTACGTGGAGAAGCACAAGTCCTGCAGGGGCCTTAAGATGATGTATCGATATGACGAGGTAAGATGTTCTCTCTGTGTCCAGAAGGGGGCGGTGTCAACTTAGAAATAAACCTGAACACCCTCTGTTGACACCCTTCCAGAATGCTTTCATCAGCTTATAAATAAATGATTAACTCTGGCTGCTCAAAGCATAACTAAATTTACTTACATTTAAACTATTCTTGTATTATCTTTGTTTTTTTCTCTATATAAAGTACATTTGCAAATGCATATCCTTCAGATGCTGGTTAAAAACAATATTATGAAAGTTGATCTACTCGCTCTAACGCAATTCAAAAAAGTGAACTTCACATATTGGCTAAATTTTGTTCATACAGAAGCATGTATTTCATGCATTTATTTTGATTAATGTTTATGAAAATTACTCAAAGAAAATTTAATCTCTCAGATTAAAAGTTTACATAAAACGAAAAAAATATATATATTCATATAGAAATGTTAGCCTTCAGAAAACTGTGTTGGCGTACGGTACATGCCGTCACAAGCTGATCAGGGCACATGGTGCAAGAATAGCGTCGAGTTATTACTGGGTCCAGATCCTCTCCTCTGTCTCTGTCCATCTTCCTCCTGAAAATTCTCCATAGATTCTCTTTGAGGGTCAGGACAGTTTGCACAGTGACACACCTTAAGATATCACAAAGTGAACAATGTGGATTTTGTGTCTTTGCCCTCTTCCTTGAGATTCTGAGACCTTCATTTCCACCAAAATGCAGAATTTAGTTTCAGGTGGTATTCTCTGTTGCTTTTAAACCCCTCTCTGCTGTAGTTTTTCCTTCCACTTAGTTTTCCATTCCACAGACTGCTTAGAAAAAGCACTGTGAGCAGTTAGCATCTTGTTTTTAACAATGACCTGTCCTGGTTTACCAGACTCAGCAGATCATGACATATCTGCATTCAAAATATTTATTGGTATGTAACAGTAAGAGAATTTTAATTTTCGGTTTTAATTTACTTTGAATCAATTACTAAAGTAAATAATTTTACATGTTTGTGTGGTGAAATGCACCCGTGCTTGAATAAATAAAAGCATCTTATCAGCCCCAGCAGGAGATGTAACTGTGGAGATCATTTTAAGTTCTTTTGAATGAAACTGTCTATAAAAGTGGGTTCATCCCAATTGTGCTTGTGCTCATCACATTTTCTGCAATATTGTTCCTGTACAGGAGCAAATCAACAGTTTGGTGAACCAGGTGTGCGGTAGGGCCATGTTAAAGAACGGAGGAATCGGAGGAGGAGCCGTCATTGTTAGCGGAGGAGGGGGAGACTCTTGCCACACTCTAAGCCCCGCCAAAGCATCGCCAGCCAAGCGGGCCCCCCGGAAGCGCGCCACTGTGGAGGTGTCCCTGGCCCGCCTGTCGTCCATCCACATGCCGAAGGCGGCGGCCGTGTCCTGAAGCGGACGGCGGGATCTTCTCCCAGTTCTGTTTTGTTTCTACATTGAGCAGGATCACTATCCCCCACTGCCCTCACCCGAGCTCAGTCTCCATTTCGCTCACCTCTCCTTTAGCGACAGCTTGTTTCTGAAAAACAGAAAAGTAAACGCAAAGCAAGATGTCTTTTTTGCACTAGTGTGAAAGAAGAATTAGTTTTTATCTTGAGTGATATTTTTTATGATTTTTAGTTCTCCCCCGCCCCTGACCTGCTCTGAATCAACAGTACAAGCATTAACATTCAGAGGAAGACTTGACAGGGCCCCATTTTTACACCTCCATCCTTTCTGACTCAGAATGGGTTACATTTGTTACCTTTTTCTTGCATCACTCACTCCTGAGACTGAATCCCCCCCATCCCTGTTAAGACTTGGAACGAATAAAATGGATCCCCCCACCATGTTTAATTTTTTCCCCCCCCTTCCAGATGATGTTAAGTAGTTACCCAAAGTTTCTCTCTGTCCTTGATTTTAAGGAAGAAGAGTCCTTTTTTATTGAATTTTATGCGTTTGTGATGCATTGCCTGCAGAGTTTCTTTAAAGGAGGTGATGCAAGATTTAAAAACTTGAAAGACGATGTTGGTTGGCTATATGTTTTTGAGTTCTATTTTGAATCTTTAGCTTTGTTTTCTGCTAGGTTTGGTTTTGGTTTTTCTTGTATTTTATTTGGTTTTGTCCGTCAGCGGACGTGAGCGAAGCAGAGCCTCACTTCCGCGTCAACACGGAGGGATCTCTCGCCAGAAATCGGTGCCTGACACTCGGCGAGGAGATTCGTTTTATTGGTGCTGTTGGTTATAATTACTGTATAACAACACAAAAATTAAAAAAAAAAATGTTTGAGGGGGCGTTTGGTGCCTGCTTCACGCCCCACAGGTCAGAAAGGCTTTCAGGCTTCTCTGGTTCTAGATGTGCAATCGTGTTAACATTCCATTCTTCCAGTCCTCTTATTTCATCTGTACCAGTAAACATTAATTATTATATTATTATTTTTGGGTTTTTGTTTTCCCATTTGTTGAGCTGATGTGTTATCTCAAGTAGAGCCACTAGTTAATGAGTGTAAAATGTGAAATATCAATTTTTCTTTCTTTGCTTTTTTGCTATTTTGTCCCCCTTTTTTTCCAGATATATTATGAGTCATTTTTACAGAGGAAAAAGTCCAACACAAACAAACAAACATCAACTTTTTTGTACATATACCCTGTAAATTTCTTTAAATACTTGAGCCTTTTTACGGGGTTTAAGTAAGAAAGAAAAGGAAGGAAAAGAATGCAGAAGAGAGAGTTTTCCAGAGAGGAGAGTGCTTGATGAAGAAAAAGCCTTACAATTCCCTTTCTTCATCTGTGAGAGTTAGATGCTTACAGGGTTTTGCTCTGGTAAATGTGTATAAAAATTTTAAGTGCTGCTTATATCACTAAGAAAGAAGATATTGAGTAGCCGATGATTGCTCCCCCCACTTACCCCTGACACTTCCCCCCACCCCCTTTTTCCTCCAGCCTAGTTTTGTTTGTTTAGCTTTACTTTTTTAAAGAAAAGGGAAAAAAAGGATTTGTTGACAAAAAATGGGTTTTTACATTTTCATTACTGAAAATTCAACAAAAATGTAGTAGCTACTCATGTTGCACTGAGCTTGCCAGTGGTGACTGTCAAGGAAAAAAAAAATCCTATAATCCAGTTTGTTGGTATTTGTCCCTCGCAGAAGACTGAACTGTTTTAGGACTATTTAAAGAAATACCAAGGTGTTTTCAGCTTCATAAAAAGTGGTTGTCAAGTTTTTATGGCCTTACAATATATTTTATTCTTATGGGATTTTTTTTCTTTCACTTTTTGTTTTATTGCTTAGTTCTCGTTTGGTTTTTTTTCTTCCATTTTCTACAGTATAAACTACTTGCTCACAATGGGATCTCTGGTGACTTAATTTATTAAAGCTGCGCGTCGGCCTTTCCTTTCATTGGGAAAGAGTTTCATGTTGGTTATATTTACAGTTTTTTACTTTTGCAGTTTGTACTTAAGGTTTAATAAAAACTTACAGACAATTCACTGTCAATCCTTTCCAACCTACTTGTGTCTTGTTTCTTTGTGTCGAGTTTTCATTTGATCACAGGAGGAAATTACTTTCTGCTGCCTCGTTGGTATTTTATTTGCGTGTTATTAGGCGTCAGAAATATTTAAGGAGAGCCAAAGTTTCCACAATCAAACTTTACCGAAGTTTGATTGTGGAAACTTCGGTAAAGTTTCCAAATCATTAAATACAAAAATGTGAAAATCAAAACGGTTTAATTAGTTCAATTTAAAAGCCACAATTATTTTAAGCAGTTATGTCAAAAAGCCATAAGTGCTACTATCAAATAGAAAAATGAGCATTTCCTGTGAAAATTCAGTGTGAATTATTTAATTGAACATTTTTAGTGGGAATTGCATTTGAAGTCAACTGTGGAAAACTTGAAAGAAATGCATGAAACAGGCAGAAGCAACAAAGTATAAGATGCTAGCAAAAAAGTGATAAGCTATTAGACTATCACTAACATGTCTAAATTTAGTCGGCGTTTATAAAAGGTTGTCAAAAACAGGGTTGAAAGGAAGATCAGGTGACTGAGTGGTAAATGCCGACAGCGCTGGATTCCTTCAACACGGGATTTACTCTATAATGTTTATTTGTTCTACATAACATGCTGTCACTGTGAGGTACAGAGACTGAAGAAAACAGGATTGGAAAAGAGACAGAAGTAAATCCAGCTCAAAGAAAGACTTGGTCTAAAACAGCCGCATTTACCTAAAGAAGGCAAATAACAAAATGTAGGGTGTTGGCCAAAAGTAAGAAAACAACAACAAAACACACTGAGATTTGAATTAACTAAACCAAATTAGGATGAAAATGTAAAACCATTACAAAACAAACAGCCAACTTTGCAGCTTGTTCTCCTACAAGCTGCAAAGTAAACAGAAACCCACTCACTCCATTTGCATCCAGTGTTTCTGAGCTGAACCTAGCAGCTCTTAAAACTTTAAAGTGCAGCGAAATGACTATTGTACATCAGTGCTGTTTACTATGCAAAATAAACCCACACAGCAACTTTGAGCCTTGAAAAGACATTTACTCTCAGTGTTGCAGTGGTGATCCCTTATATCTCTCGGAAAAAAAACAGAATTAATGCACACACAGAAAAGTGATTCCTGGTTTGAGAGACACTTTTTTTTCCAAACATGCCGGACCATAACTCAGTAATGAACAAACAGTGCGTTTTCACTCACACTTTTAATCTTGCTCACATTTCTTGTTTCTCAAAATGCTCAGAGGGAAATCAATTCACTCTTGAGCAGAAACATTAACAAGTCAAGAAAACTAAACAAAGGGTAAGAAAATGAAGGAAAAAATGCATTTACACTGCACAAATATTAACAATTTCTGACCCCAAAAAAACAAAACTAAATCAAAATTTGGACAAGAGTTAGCCTCCAGGCCGATGTCCAGTGCATAGCACGCTCCAAGATGGGGATTTGGTCCTGGTTCAGAAGAGATCTGTCCAAACTGTGCAGGTCATAGACAAGGTTCATGTTTGTTTGTGTGAGCAAATGTTTCTAAAACTACTGAAACCTGCAGCATGTCAGCAGTACAGTCAGTTTTGACAGGAATAAAGTCAGAAATTTGGCACATGAGAGCTGGTTGTCACATTTATCCATAATGAAAGTAAGAACAGTTTGTGCCCTCTGCACATCATTAATCGGCTCGATTCATCAAAATTACACCAAAAATCTAATTTATACTGGCACAGAAATAGCTTTCAGTACATCTGTTTAAACAATGCATTTTACTCAATCAGGACGATCATCCTGCAGTGAGAAGTTGCACTTGCTGTGCTTTTTCCCCCCACTTTATCAGAAAAACTTTAGCTTTGTTTTAAAAAATGTGGATGAGCCAAATTAAAACGATATCCAATGAAAGAAAATGAGTTTGGCTTGATTTTAATACATACTTTTGTTCCGTGAGAGGAAGATTAGGATCGCAGTGCTGATGGAGCTGAAGGTAGTTCTTTTTTCATTCTCGACATCGGAGAGATTAAAAACACCATTATATGTTCAGTTAAAGTTCCAACGATCAGAAAACAGGTTCAGGATTTATGCACAATACATTTCACTATAAAGCATGAACAGAATTAGACCGATGGCTCATCTGTGACCTCATTTCCGTTATCAGGAACAGGCTTTGCTCAGCCTCAACATGCAGAGCTGTAGAAACGGAACGTCAGGATTTCCACAATGTTTCTTATTTTCACATTTTTCTATTAGATTTCTGGATGTTTTTCAACAGTTTTTGTCAATCATTTACCTTCACGAAGCTTCATAGTCTGAATGTTTCACAAATCCTAAGATAGTACAATTTCAAAAGTGTGTTTAGATCAAGCTGCTTCTCTGCTCTTTCTGGATTATTCTGTCATGCTTAAGCTTAATCTAAAGTAAAGTGTGTTCTTCTTAATGCGCAATTTATTATTGATTCCTTTATTTTTATTTTTATTTTTGGCGAATGCTTCTCTCTCTTTTTATAAAAAAAAAACATGGCTTTAAGGTTTGCTGATTGAAGCTTACTGAGATTCACATGTAAATAATATATGTAATATATGTAATACTGAGTCTGACTCTCTGAAAAACCTTAAGCTATTTCAGTTCATTCTGAACCAAAAACGGGTCGCAAACATCTTGAAAAACATTTGATCAGACTGAACTTACATCACTGGTCTTAAGGCAAGTTTATGTGGCAGTTAGTGCAACCTCGGTGTCATCTCTCTGATGAAAGGAAAGGTTTTTGGGAATAAAAGCCAATAAATAGAATAGAATACAATAGAATAGAATATATATCTAGGTTTGATTTGGCAGCTCTGAGCGTTTTCACTCTTTAAATCAAGTCCAACTGTTCTCAAACCTGCTGCCTCCTCTCCTCACAGTCTCGACTGCTCTGATCATCCTGGTCCTCTCTGTCCACCAGCGTGGAGTCTGGGTGGACCTCCTCTTCGTCCAGCGTCACTACCACTGGGGGCCTTCGTCTCCTTCCTCCTCCTCCAACAACGCCGCCGCTTCCTCCTTGCTCAGCTTCCTCCTCGTCCTCGTCGTCCTCCCCGGCCTCAGTGTCCTGGCTGGCCGAATCCGTGCAGGTGGAGGACAGGGACGAAAGCTTGTGTCGGAGCTCGGCCTGGGTGGGGACCTGGAGGCTGATCTCGTTTGTAAAGGACTCGATGTCTGGACCTTTTAGATAACAGAAGGACTTAGTTAGGTGCATTGTCAATGAACATAGAATACTGCAGGAGTGACGGCGTCTCTCAGATTCTCATGCTTATCTGGCAGTAATCTTTTCCCTCTGGATAATTCAGACATTTGCATTTTTGCCGGGTTTACAGAAAGAAGGACACATGTAGACGGGTAGGGGAGGCTGCAGGTTATCTTGGCCCAGTCGAAGTTGAGATGTAAATTGAACTGGTGTTGAAAATGTATTTTAAAAGACGCTCGCCATTTGATCTGCTAGAACATCTGCCGTCTAGTGAAAATAATGAACACATATAGAAGGCACCTAGCAGTTTTTATGAAAAAAAAATATATAAAATTGATAAAATCCTTACCCAGGGGTTTCGGAGTACAAATGCACACAATTCTATGATTAGTTGTGCCAACCCATTTTCCTTTCATCTCACAAATAAGCACTACTTCCTGTGGATCCATCTTGCCTTACACTTTTAAAAAACAAACATTTTTTTAAAAGTCTCTTTTACAAATTGTGAAACAGATCATGGCAATGTAATATATGAGAAAAAGAGGGGCAGGGGTTTGCATTATGTCTAAATGACGTGAACTAGAGTGTCAGTGTGATTTTCTGGACGTAGTATTTACCTGTGACAGGTGAGGCAGCGCTGTTGTCCTCTCCCCCAGAGTGCAGGAAGACATCCAGAGCCTCGTGGTCGGACATGTCCATCAGATCCATCTGCTCCAGCATGTCCACGTTGACCTCCATGGAGGACATGCTTCCTATTGGCTCTGGACAGATCACAGTCAGATATCAGGAAGTGCCAAAGCGTGGAAAAGGCAGCAGCAAGGAGCTGAGTCCAGGAAGGAAGGCGCTTTGCTCTAAGTCGGAATCATTACTCACCGATACAAAAGCATAAGCCAATGACCACATATAAGCTGGATGGTGTTTGAGATGTTAAAGCAGGTATGATTAAAAAAATAAAGTGCAAAAACTATGTAGCTTTAACATGACAGGAAATAAACTTACACACCATTTTCTTTTTATTATTATTATTATTATTTAACCAGACCTGAAAAATTACTTAAATTCAAGATTTTCTAGACTGCGTAGGAACCCGGAGGACTGGTCTTCAGTGTGAATGAATACATCAAATATCGAATGCAAAAGCGACTGAGAGGTAAAAGCAGAAAAAAGAAATCCTGCACTTTGCAGGAATCCACGCTTCAGCCAAACATAACAGGGGGGGAAAAATGACTGAATATCTGCTACAGTATTTAGAGTGAAACTGCTTGAGTGGTATATGAAGTAGACGTTGTGTATAGCTTGTGTTCATGTGAGAAAAAAAACAAAAACGTTTTTCTCGGAGTTATTACTGTTACACATCAACTGTACCCACATAGTGAGTTTAATGTTGGACTCTTTATGCCACTTTATGTTCATTAAATATGGCGTAGCCAAATCTACATACCGACAGGGAACGCGCCAAGTCAGTCAGTTTTAGCACTTGCACTGCAGCTTACTCAGCTATTCAGACACATTATGACAAAGAGCTGATTTATTATAAGCTGTGACTTTGACAGATTAGACGAGTAATTAATTTTATAAGTGTGTACAAAGGATTATACATCCTAGTAAAATAGGACATGTACATAACAAAATTCTCCAACGAAAACAAGCAAACAAATTTTCAATTTTAGATGAAATCTTTCTCATGAACTGACACACTCCTGGATTCACCACCTTGCAGGGCTGCAGAGCCCCACGGTTTGCCATAATGGTTTTGCTGCATGCATCACAGACAGCCAGTCCTGGCACTGACAGGGTGGAGGGTGGGAGTGGGTTAGCAAGGCAGGGTGGAGCGGGGGCAGCAGAGTTGTAAGCACATGAGGAAGAAGCGACGTGATTAGTTGTTAGCGCAGGAGCGCCAGAAGGCGCTTTTGCTACCATACCTCAAGGAAAATGAGGAGGAGTAGAAGAGGGCGGCACAGGGAAGGAGAGCAGAGTGAAGAGTCAAAGTAGAGGAAAGAAAGAGAGAGAGAAAGAAAAAGGGGGATGTTATTTCCAATAGAGGCTGCCTTAAAGTCTCCCTGCCCTTTAAGCTGCAACACAAACACATACAGATTATACACAACAGAATGTCACACCGGGATTAATTCGGACCATTCTTGCATGCGTTTCTCACCATTAGGCTGTTTCTTACCCAACATTTTTAATGGAAACAGATCTAATTTGTGCTAATGGTATGCAGACTCCTTCAAGTGCGTATCCATACGGCCTTTCTCGTCACTGCCATGTGAAACATGGGATGGATGACAGATTGCACCCTCTGCAGAGCGGTGTCTCCAGGACAGGAACATGAATAAAAGAGTGATGCTTGGTAATGTTGAAAAGGTTTTTTGGTCTTCTCGACTAAAAACATCCTTTCCCATCAGACGGCTTCTGACATGCTCCTCTGTTTGCCTTGGTGTGACCTTGCTTAAAAGGGTACCCCTGCTGGGAGGGCTCTTATTGCCTGCAGTGAAATTACACAGAATAAATGCCTGTGTGTGTGCGCGCGTGTGTGTGTGTGTATGTGGGTGTATGCGTGCAAGAAACAAAACAAAAAGTAAAGTTTAAGACTCTTGAGACCAGTTTGTGGTTATTACTGGGTTATGGCGTTCACCTGGTATTTTCTGTTCATGACAAATTTCCAGACTATTCTCCAGAGTTCTGACTCATGTCCAAACAGCTTAATGTCGTGGCCACCATGTATTACAACGCATTTAGGGTCTTAGGTTTATAACACCCACAGACGTTTACACTTGAGCCCAAAGTTCTTTTCTGGTCTTCATGGTCCAAAGCACGTTCTTCCACATGTTTGTGGCAAGCAGCAAGTCTCCTGACTTGTACCATATGTAAGGGCTTCTTGGCTGCTTCTCACATTAATCCACCCATCTCTCTCAGGAGGTTTTCTCTTGTGCCACACTCTATTTTCAGAGTGTGGTGAGATGTGGGATTGATTTATAACCTCCAGATAATCCTACCTGACCTGTCTTCTGTGTTCCTTGGTCTTCGTTGTGCTTTTTGTTCTCTAATGTTCCCTCCCAAACCTCTCATTCAGTGTTTATGCTGTGTTTTGTCAACTAACCTTTGGGATAATGTCCCCTTAGATATTTTTGTTAGAAAGCCCACCATGATTCAACAGTTTGCTTCATTTTACTGTTTTGTTTTTAGATTTTACTTTGGGAAAAAAAACAAAAAAAAAACAACAACATTTCATTAACCACAAGCAGTTTTGACTGACAATAGAAACACAAACCCCACACATTTTCTCCATTCTTCATCCTTAAATCTCTTCCCTCTAGCTCCATCTCTCTCTCTGTCCCCATTGCTCCACAATCTTCTTTCATAAACTGGTTCCAGGGGATTAACGGAGGAGGATGGATGAGTAAAAGAGAGAGAGAGGGAAGAAAAATAAATCACATCCCAAACCCCAACAGAGTCTGCAACGTATTTTAATACCGAGTCTTTGCAGCTCGTCTTTGCAGCTCCACGTTTCAGGACATGCTTTTGGGAATTTGTACTGACTTTTGGAAGCAAAATTAGGTGTAAACCACAGCAGGATTCTATTTTTGCCGCATTGCAAGAATATATCTTTATCTATATGGCCTGATGACATCATTCATAGTAAAGGCTTGAAGAACAGATCCTCGTTACAGAGTAACAGTGGCTCAGTGTTATCATTTGCAACGAAAGTGGATAAGGTCTCTGCTGGGAGCAACGGGACTCAAACGTTAAACTCAATAACATGTGGCTTTGTATTCTGTCAAGAATAAGACAAACAGAGAAAAACTCATTAGTTCATACTTCCTAAATCATCAAAACAGACATTTTCTTCTTCTTACCTCTCCTCTCTGTGATCTGAAGGTATCCAGTGGACAGGTACTGCTCCATGTCTTGTTGAAAAGCCTCCTCAAAGAACTTCTGTCTCTCTTTCAGCTTCACCTGGGGTGTCGGGACCCCTGCTGGCTCGGCTCCGGGGACTTTCTGCGAGTGCTCCGCATCAAGCTCCACTGGAAGCGCAAGAGAAACGAATGCAAGTTAACGTTTTGTTTCTAACAAGCGACGACCGTGCGCTACAAAAAATATAATGATGAAGTGGTGCAGCTCAGTGAAACAGGGAGCAAAAGAAGTAAGGCTGATTTCATCCATCAACTTTCTGTGTATCCAGGAAGAAGATTCTGGAGGCCAGACTTAACCCTGACAGGTCGAGGTCAGCGGTTACTGAAGCAGAACGATGTGGAGCTCTGCGCTTTGAGGCATTCGGTTTTTCTCAGATTCACCCCGGTGTTTGTAACTCAATACTCTGTCCGTCTGCTGCGGGCTGCACAGGAGAGACCAACGCACTAATGTCTCGAGTGAATAATCGCCACTGCTGCAAACACATCAGTAAACCAAGAACCAGGCTCCTGCTGTGTGTGTCCTCTGAGGCTCTGAAGCTTAAAAGACGAGCTTCAGGAGAGAGATTTATTTGCATTGTTGAGAAGCACAGAACTCTGCTGTGATGGTTTACAAGACTCAGGACTCTTGGCCTTCAGATTAGAAGTTTCTACAGTACTAAACTCTGCTCTTTGGTCTGGACTTTGACTGGGACATTCAAACATGTTTTGACATAAATTATGAATCTGGCCATTTAGAGTTGTTGTCCTACCCAGAGATAAATCTTCACCACAGTCTCAACCATCTACAGGTTCTTCCAGGATTTCATGTTGCACGTTCCTTCATTAACCACCATTAACTTTGACTAGCTTTCCCATTTCTGTGGAGGAAAAAAAGCCCCAATCCTACAGTGTGATGATGTCACACTGCCATGTTTGTATTGTGCTACATGTACATAATTTAAACTATATATATATATATATATATATATATATATATATATATATATATATATATATATATATATATTTATATATGTATTAATACATATGTATTATGTATTTTTTTATCTGAAATACAATATGTAGTATATATTTTTATAAATTTTTGGCATATTTAGTGCCTTTTCTGAGTTTGCATACTCTAGTTGAAGATTAATCGATTACTAAATTAGTTGAAAATGATTTCAATGATGGATTCTTTGCGATTAATCATTGTAGCTCTTCATATGACCATATTTTAACATAAGGTACAGTTCCTGGTTAGTAGAGAATGGGGAATAGAGAGTATGTTTGCCTGAAGGGAAGACATTAACTTTGCGTAACGCTTTCTGACGTGATGGAAGCATGACTGTGCCGTTCGTGAGTGTAGGCACTGATGCAGCCTGGAACCATGGACGAGGATGTCTCTTTATTTTTCTCAATTTTTCTCTGACAGACAAGTGTTATATAAGTACACCCACTAACTGCAGAGCAAATGTCAGTTCAATATGTCACATCAAAACATACTAACCTGATCCATACATTAGCTGTGATTTTGATTTAGCTGGGAATAAAAGATTTGGGGAGCTCCCGGATGTTCCTCCACGTTACAGGAACACTGAGTCCTGTGAATTTACATTTTACAGCCTCCCGTCCTCTGCTACTCGACGCCCTGACATAGAATAGAGTCCTGATAAACCGTGGGCTGCGGCAACAGATGGATGCGCAAAACCAAAGAAAAATGAGCTCCCATAAGAGCTCACACTAACGTTCCTCAGAGACGCAGCGAAAAGAATAGCACTCTTCTTTTCTCTCTGTCATCTCTTACCCAGCGTCCAATTTATCTCATTCATCTAATGTTTCGTGTTTGTTCCTCATCTTTCCCCCATGACTCTGAACTGCCTGGTTGGTGTGTTGGTGTGTGTGGCTCACAGAGACCGCTCTATTAGATTAGGGGCCTGAGGGAAGCTTTGTTAAGACTGTCAACTATTGTGCAGGGTTAGAAGCAGCGGAAAGAGAAGGCATAATGGAAAAAGAGGCCAGTGTGGTTAGTTATAATTAGGGCTTGTAGACAGACAGTAATAACAGTACTGTTGGATTCTGGGTTTTATTTTATTTGTCTCTAATCTGATTCTCAGTCCATTACTTTCCTGCACTGACTATTTGTTCACGTCTTTGTTCATGCTGACTGAATTCAATCTACTATTCATTTTGTCTGCCAGTCTGCACCGCGTCTTCTGTTGTCCTATTAAAGCATACATTTCCAACCAGATCTAAGTTTTGTTAATTTGTTCATTCAATGTCAAAATTGTGATCTAAACGAATGTATTCCAGGTTTGGGCGGTTTTCAGGAACAACAAAAAGGCTTGTGTGGCATTCAGGTATGAGCAGTCTCAGTTTTTTTGATATCTGAAATCTGACAGGAAGAAATGATTCCTGACTCTGTGAAAGAGAGTGAAATGCTTACATATTGTAAGCCAAACGTTAAACTATGGAAACCCTCAATCAGTCTTAATGCAGGTAGATATGTCCTTAGAGTGCTGAGCCAAACAATCTTTATTCACTGGATAGGTAATGGAAACTATTGTTGGGCCACAACTAAAATAACATTTTCTCTATTTTCACTTAAGCTTCAATGGTGCACGCTGTAGGAAGGCCCACCACAGACAGCAGTCGGGATAATTTGCATAGTCTGTGGTTAAAAATATCAGCCTGTTTTTGTCTACGAGGCCAGTGTGGCTAGATTGCATTTTGTTGGAAAGTAACTTTTATTTTATTGACAAGTTCAATTTTTATCACTGTTTATAGCAATATTCATAGAGAAAGTGTTGGCTGCTGCAGTTTACTGTTTATCTGTGTCACGTGACCCGACTCGTACAGGGCAGGGATGTCCAAATTGTGGCGCGAGAGCCATCTGTGGTCCCCTAAACTGCTTTTGCGTGAATTTTGGCCGCAATTCACAGATGGTACAACTTTAGCGCCGACACTTGATGCAGGCAAAATCCTTTTTCAGGTTATGGCACAAATATTTTGATAAATTAAAAGTTACATACAACATGCAGTATTTAGAACTAATTTTACAGTAAGTAGGACCACAATTATCCAGTGACATTTACCCAAAACCAGATGTGCCTTTGACTTATTTTTCAGATTTGGGTAAATATAGCAACTGTTTTTGAAGTGAGAGTGGCTCAAATCCTGAGAATAGGCATATGTCCACAACCAAGAAAACAGAAAACAGCAAAACCTCCAAATATTAGGAATCCATATTCTTCAAATATGGCAATACCTTATTCTGGGACCTACGATAGTTTATATAGACTACTCAAACAAAATCTGAAAATGCATTAAAATATTGCATTTTAAGATTATTGTTTGAAAACTGAAAAAAAAAACAGTTTTTTCCCACAACATAAAAAAGCACATAATAGGTGTATTGGAGATGCTTTCCAGCACATATGAAACTAGACAATACATTTTTATCAGGTTCACAGTCAAGCGTTGGGTAAAGGAAGCAGGCAGAAGAACAACTTTTTGAAAGTTTAAAGAAGTTGGCAGAATTAACAAGTCATATTAAAACAAGAAGTAAACATGTGAACATTATTCTACAAGGTTTTGTGGTTTTCAGCTTCAGCAGATGCAAAGCCTCTCAGAGTTGACTGAACACTGTGGCTTTGTGCATTTAATAAAGTATGTTATGAATGTCCCTGGTAAGTGTGACCAGTGACACACAGGCATAATATTAATACAGATAAAGCATCTCAACGTACCACATTTAAACTCCTCTATTGTTATCACCATCTCTATAATTACCAGCGAGTTTAATGCACCTTACTTTTTTTTTTTATCTCTTACTCTTCTTTCCAGTCTTCCCTCCGCTGTCGCTTCTATTTGCCTTTGCAGCATCACAAACGACACAGCTACGTACATCCTCCTACACATGGTGCTGTGGCTACAGGAGCTATTTTTAGCTCCCACCCATTTAGCCTAAAGTTTGTGGTGATGAAATTCAAATAAAGGCGCACATAAGCATTTCTCCAGGGTCCGATACATTCTGCGGGTGTATGTGTGCAGCAGCTGTTCTAACCATCTTCAATGGTATGCTTCTAACTTATGTTGTTAAAGGCTCACATCATAACATGACTCACGTGAGCAGTAGTGAATACGCACTCGCAAAGGAGTATACATCTGCAGATGATTCAAGGGACCCGAGCTACATTGTTTTAGTCACAGTAGATAATGTAAAGAATGATAAACTACCAATAAGAAAAATGAAGCAAAATTAACCAAACACAGGAAAAGAATTACCAAAAAAGAAAGACACAAATGTCAACTTAACGTTAAATTGGAAACTGGCAATACAAGTTCATTGTATTGTTGCACTACCTGACTTTGTGGATGCTGCGGCGTGTGATGCGTCTGATCCAGCCATATAAAAAAAAAAGTTAAATCCTAAAAATTCCCCCCAGTACTGTACGGTTAAGTCTGTCTGCTCACTTTGCCAGCTTTTATGTATCGCATCTGTTTTCAGCTGGTTTTGTGTGCTTCGTATGCAGGAAGCAGAAGCCACAGGAAGAGGGGTTGCACGAGTGCAGGCATGTGTGAGTGAGTTTGAGAAACTGCACCTGTTTTTTTCTGACAAACTGTAGTAGAACCATTCAAGTGCCAACAACTTTTTTTTTTGTCATTTCATTAAATATCTGTAGCACATCTGTTTTCGTTTTACACCAGCATGATTTTGCATGAGACATATTCATACGCATAAATGTGTTTCTATTCATAGAAGAGCAGACAGCAAACGGCATTAGGAGTTACTGTAAGAGGACGCACTGAGAACGGACTGCAATTGAAATGTAAAGCAGATACTCCATCAAACGTTGCTTGTGACTGTGGGATTCAACTCTCTCCCTGCAAGTGGTGTTGAGTTTTTAGAAGCATCACATCTCCTATCTGGGCTCACATTTCAAAGACTTTTAAAAACATCTTTTCAGCAGCATTTCTGAAGCATCATACTAAATAGAGCACTTTGAGGATCCTTTAGACTCAGAGTCAGAGAGCCAACAGACTCTATTTAAGCATCTGCTGCAGCACTGATAGGCAACAAGAAGCCAACCTTTTTCATATGGAAATATATGATCCATAAGCAGCAGACT